TGAGATGGGCAAGCTTTGAACTAAGCTACCAGAAATTAAATGTAGGGTGATGCTAATATGAGGAGAAATGTTGTCATGAAGAAACCAAAAAGTACCACTAAGTTACATCACTAGTAATTCATGTTTTCATGTAGTTCAGGATGTTCATGCAGGTATGCTGTTAATTTCAGCCCATGCTCATTGGATGGTTAATTCTTTTCATCAGGAGCAGTTCCGTTAACATTGTTTATTTATCATGGTATTTATTTATCTTTTTCACTGTTATATATATATATATATATATATATATATATATATATATATATATATATATATATTCGTAAATGACTGGTGGCTCATACTAATTGTATTTTCCAAAAAATGTGGGACTGCATGTATCAGTGGTGTTCTGAACTGAGGCAAAAATCCTCAGTTTTATTATATAAAATAAATGTATGTCCCAGTTACACTTAATGTTGTCACATTGTAACACTCTGCCTTATCAGTCTAATTTACATGCATTTAAGTGTGTCCCAAGTAATAGTTGTCATGGTTTATGAATTCTCTGCCTTCATGTCTCGTGATTGTGTGTCTGTGTGGGGGTGGCCGCTAAGTACTGCTGATCATCAGCGCCAGCTGATTTCACTTTACATGGGCTATATATTCCTGTGACTGGTATCTCTTGTTGTCAGATTGTTCTGTTATGTTCCTGTTCCGTTTCGTGTTGGTCTTCGTGTCCTGGATTGTTCTTCGTGTCTGCACAACTGATTCATCTCTCGTAATTCCCGGAGCCTGGTTGTTCATCTCAGATCATCATTCACCATCCGGTTGCCTGTCGAAGTCCCTGCGTCACTAGCCTTGTCTGTTGTCTCTGTGTTTTGTGTGCTGACCAGCGTTACTGTTTATTCTTTAAATATCACTTACTGCACTTTGCTTCCAGTCGTTCCTGACAATAGTGAATCCAAATGCTTTAACTGGAAAGGTGAGAAGAATGTATTTTACCTGTATAGAACCTACAGCTGAATATGTAATAATAATACATTGCATGCATTTTTACAGAATCCTAATAGAATGACTGACTTTCTTGGGCAAAACAAGAGCACCTGTAATGTCAGCACACTGTTAGATGCTAAACAAAATACTGTATCGATGTATTTCTGGTCCTGGAAATTGCCTGAGCACAGCGATCTCAGGATAAGATGGTGCAGTTTTGCTTGGAGTCAAGCTCATAATCTTAGGCGCTGCTCTCTGAGTGTCTCATCTACAGTATGTGTGTGTGTTCACACAAACACATGGGACAAAGAAAAAGCTATTCATTCCTGGAGTCTCAGCTATAGCAGAGGAATCAAACATTAAGGACATACAGTGAAAAAACTAAGGCCAGAACTTATTTTAAATGCAGTGCTCTGCTTACTAAAAAGGTGCAGTTTTGTCATCTATGGCAGGACTTGTTGCAATGTAATAAGAGGTATTTTACATAAAAATATGTAATGATTAAAAAATATACATTATATATTACATAAGGTCCAAGTCTAAATTCACATGAAAATCTGGGATACAAAATTTGATGGATGAGGATCATCTCACTCACTTATATCCAAAGCAATGTGACATTAAGATGGCTGTACACTGGATAAATAGGCTGGTTAATAATCTGTAGTTAGTAGCGTCTCTATATTTAGTTTGAGTCTCCTTAACACTGCAACAAACAATGGAGACATCACATGCAACTTTAAAACCAGCAAAATAACCGTTGAAGTAAGTGAGATGGAAACAGAATAAAATATAAACAAACAAAATGAAGATGGAAAAGAGAGAATACTGCAAGAGTGTTTTGGGAGAAACGGTAAGACAAATGAAAGACTGAGCATGACAGCATGAGCTCTCATCCATCCATCTCTTTCCAGTACACAGGGAAAATGAAAATCCATTCCATTCAGCTATTTTAAAGGGATACTCCACCAGTTTTTCTTATTAAACTATGTTATTCCCTTAACTAAGACGAGTTGATACATACCTCTCTCGTCTCAGTGCGTGCACTATATCGCTCTGTATTGCCGCAAAACTATGTTAGCACTTAGCTTAGCCCATGCATTAAATATGGGCCAAGCAGAGAAGCGACCAAACACTTCCACGTTTTCCCTATGTAAACACAGTTACTCGAGTAGTGTAACTTGACCTGGGCTGGTGACACAAAATAAACCGTTGCGCTTTTCTAAGCGTTTAAAATTGATGACTATATTGTATGGCGGAATACCATAACAAGTGCTTTTGAGCACTTCGACTTGGCGCAATAATATCTTCACTCGTGAAAAGTCCTCTTACCGGCTCCCGCTTCCTCTCCCCCTCCCTCTGACATTTCCGTCAATACAACCAACGTGACATGCGCCGGTAGTAGTAGTTCGAGCGGAGTTGACGAAGTAACAGGTTGTTGGAAGCTAGTTTGTGTACAATAATGGTTAAAGCGTGCATCGTAAAGGGTTGTGAAAATAAGGAGAATGTACATAGTGCTGTCATTTTTCACCGAATTCCAACACACCACATACAGCGGAGAGCTTGGTTAGCTGCTTTGAACAAGAATCCCAAAACACCATTGATGACTCTGAAGAAGTGGCGTGTTTGCTCCGAACATTTCACAAAGAAGGACTATACCTGCACAGGAACACGCCTAAAGGATGAGGCTACACCAACAATATTCAGATCACTTACAGAAAGCCCGTGGTCTTTCGCCAGCTCCGGTCTGTTCTGGATCATATCTTTCTTGCCTCTCACGGTCCATAAGAGCTAATTCCTCCTCCGTGTACTCGGGTTCAAACAGATATGGCTCTGGGTCTTCTACAAAGAAGTCATAATCATCTACAAAGTCCGCCATTGCAAATGATCTGCGGTTTGCTAATGGCACAGGTAGTAAAAGTCACGTTGGTAGTATTGACGGAAATGTCAGCAGCTGGATGCTATTGGAGGGAGGGGGAGAGGAAGCGGGAGCCGGTAATCTTTTCACGAGTGAAGATATTATTGCGCCAAGTCGAAGTGCTCAAAAGCACTTGTTATGGTATTCCGCCATACAATATAGTCATCAATTTTAAACGCTTAGAAAAGCGCAACGGTTTATTTTGTGTCACCAGCCCAGGTCAAGTTACACTACTCGAGTAACTGTGTTTACATAGGGAAAACGTGGAAGTGTTTGGTCGCTTCTCTGCTTGGCCCATATTTAATGCATGGGCTAAGCTAAGTGCTAACATAGTTTTGCGGCAATACAGAGCGATATAGTGCACGCACTGAGACGAGAGAGGTATGTATCAACTCGTCTTAGTTAAGGGAATAACATAGTTTAATAAGAAAAACTGGTGGAGTATCCCTTTAAACAGGTTAATATATGTGAATCTGCTATTTCTGTTCCAACCAGGAGAAAGATTTAAAAAATATAAGATGAGATTTGAGATACAGTATGAGATATACAGTAAGATATGAGATTTAAGATATAAAATTTGAGATGTCAGATATTTGAGATACAAGACATGAGATTTCAGATAGATATACAATACAAAATCAATATATATAATATGTAAGGCATAATGTAATGCACGACGTGGAGCATTGACGAGTTAAAGCTGATGTTTGCAGGAAGAGTTAAAATGATGGTTAGTTTCATCATCTACGACTCATTAGATCTTGCATTCTGTTACCAGACCATGAATGAGCTTTTAGATACAAGATACAAGATATGAGATTTGAGATATATAACATAAGATATTAGATTTGAGATATGACATTTAAGATAATAAGACATGAGATATAAAATGAGATTTGAGATATGAAATGTAAAATATGAAAAATTATATTTGGGATATATATTTTAGATATAAGAAATTAGGTTTGAGATATGAAATTTACAAAGATATAGGATATCTCATATTTGCCCCATGGTGAGCCTTTTACCCAGTGTGTGGAAAGACCTTGCCACCCCATACATTTTTAAGATTTTGAAACAAACAAACCACTTTTAAAATGTATTTTTACACAAAATGTGTTGCTCCATCAATGTTCAATAAAAACATATACATTTTTTTTTTGCAATCATATATGGGAGTAGTGAAAAGCACATTTTTCTTAAGGTGTGCCTTTAGCCCCGTTGTATGGCAGGCAATACACATTTCTATTTTAAATTGTTTTAAATAATTCACATTTCTATTTTGCATTTTATAAAATAGAATAGAATAGAATAGAATCTTTAATTGTCATTGTACAGTAGAACCATACAACGAAATTTGCTTGTGCAACCTCTAAAACAACACTCACTTTCATAAACACACTCATACAATAAATAAAATAAAATAAGAAAAGCCTCACTTCTCACATTCACTTCTGCTTCTAGACAACAGACGATAAAAGTACTATTTCACATTAAATAATAGCAAATCGCATACAATATGCTGCGAATATTCTGCCATTTCTCTCCACATCCATAGCCCAATGTCCATGTGGATTATTGTCTGTGTGTATGCTGTCTCTTGATACTCTATGCAGATTTATGCCAAAAGTGGCCAGTTGAGATCCACTTCCCTACAGAGTTTAGGTGTATCTTGGAGTTTAATCATAATTACAACTTGGACGTGGAATTTCTGAGAGCTCCGACTTGTAGCCTACCACGTGATCGCTGAACCACTGCCGATTCATTTTAGGCTTTGATAGTGTTGCCATGGAAAACAACAATCGTCTTGTAATTAGCATATATGCGTGAACGCAACGATCCGCTTCTTCAACCCTGAACAAACACAGCTGAACAAGAATCAAGGTCTTCCATCTGCAGGTGAGTTTCATCAGGGTTGGAGTTGCCCAGATAGGCTATCATGGGATCTTTAAAAACGCGTGCGCTGTAAACTATTTTACTGCGTTTCTTGTAGAATTCAGCCGATGTTTTGATGCAGCATCACAGTTTTTCATTGTAGTTTTGTGTGCTAGCGCTTCTTCCAGCTGAGTTCGTGAGGTCGCAGGTCAAGAGGATGACAGCTCACGGTTGCTCGTTGAGTGCTGTTTTTTTGTGTCTGTGTGCATGTTTGAGCACAACAGACGCTGGACTCGCAGGTGAGACGATCTTTTAGCTTCATTACAAAGCTCGAAGAAATATGACATGTAGCCTACACACACGTACACCGTGAGATTGCGTTGACTATTACAGCACGTGTTTGAAACTGATTGACACGGTTTAGTGGTAGGCTAAATTATAGCTTTCTAAGATATTTTGATTTCTGACAGCCGAATGTTTTATGTTGAGAAACTATCCAAAATAAATATTTATAATAAAACTTTGTATCAACAACTTGGGACATTAATCTTACAATACTGTACAAAATGAATCGAGTAAACCTAATTTCTGGGTGTTTCTGCAACTACCAATTTTGAGAAATCAACCTCTATGAATTTCAATTTTAACCATCACAGTCTGTAATGCATATAAAAATTTACACAAAATAGAAGTCGTTAAGATTTTAATCTGGAACATGTTTATTTTTTGTTTTTCGGGTCATCTAAAGTGTCCTTACCCCAACGTTACAAATTTGATGCAGTAGTAAATATTAGTAAATATATATATATATACTAAATAGGGAATTTTATGTTTTTTTTCTATGCTATGTGAAAAATTTACAGTAACCTTAGAGTCAATTGTTTCCATACACACAAGATAACATTTAACTTTTTATGACAGATGTTGCAATTTCATGTTAATCATCTCAGCTTAAAGCTCCAGTCCGTAACTTTTTTTTAGTTAAAAATAATCCAAAATAATTATATTAAAAACAACTTATTCTGTCAAAACTATCTGCTTGCCATAGCTAGATTCAAAGCGGTTAGCTTGTAATAATGATTTTAATTCCAGTGGTACTGGTGGGTTTCCGCGGGAAATTCGAGCATGTCTTTGCGTCATGACGTCACACCCGTACACATAAAGGAGTTTCGGCTAGCCGGCTATACTGCGCGTGACGAGATGTTTAGATGTAGGCTTTTCTCGCAGCACTTTACATAATTAAACGTATGGCATCCAGAAAGATCCAAACAACAATCATCAGTCAACTGGAGATTCAGCAGTTATAAAACCCAAAAGACTTCGTACTTCGGATTTAAGGTGGCTAGAGAAAGAGAAAGAAACCGTCTCATGCGAACACAAGGATTTAAACATCGGCGGGGCTTTTGAAAAGTGCGTGAACTCCGTGTTTTGAAGGGGTTCAAAACGGAAGAAGAGACGGCTTTTTTCTGCTGAACAAGTAAGACATTTCAATAGTTCAATCGTGTAACAGTACGTTTTCTTAATTCACACAGTTATGGAGTTTCCTTTGTTGTGCCTTTCTCGTTTTGCTATTATGGAGAATATGAATTCTGAACTACACAGGTAACCATAAAACACATTAAATTTAACATTACTCACACAATGCTGATGTTGTTAACATGAACAATTTGAGAACAAAGTAGACTATAATTTGCATGGTTGCTGTAAATCGCGTTGATTAAATCTAACGAAGCTTATCATGTCGAATGCTTTTTCCCCCTTAGTTGGTCAGAACAAAAATGGATTTTACTTACTTGTTCAGAAGACATTTTCTTATGAAAATTCTTATGTTGGTCAAACTTTCAAAAAGTGAATCTGTGATTCTGTATGACAGTATCCACACAGCGCGGTGACTGACAGCAGCACTCGCCTCAAAGCACTGTGTTCATCCGCGCTGTTTCATGGCGATTTACAACCCACGTAAAGATAATAATTCCGCGAATCACTGCAGTTACAGATTTCGAACAGAGAGATGGCGACAAAGAGGAAACGATACGGACTGCAGCTTTAAGTGTAAAAATATTTTTTTTGCACATGAAAATGTGAGAAAAAAAATTAAAAAAGTAGAGCAGTGCTGCGGTAATGACATCTTGTGTCGGTAAGGACACAATGTTAAATTGCCCCCAAAAAAAAAAAAAAAAAAAAATATATATTTATACACACACTTCAGTACTAATAATATACTGAATATTTGTAATTTAATATACAGTAAACCTTGAATTTGTCTCTACCGCAACACAAGGTCTTTACCGCAACACCTAAATTTGCTGCGGTAAAGACATGTTGTGGAAATTACACTTTTGCTAATTTTAGCTAATTGGCAGCTGGCAAGGCCTACCACATTAGTTTTGACTCTTAGCATCTTAATATGCATGAATTCAACAGTAATATACATTTATTTTTAAAATGTAGTTCAAAATACACAATTAAGCTGAATGGTAAGGACACACAAATACTAGAGCAGAAAAGATTTTAACCTTTACTTTTTTTGGTATCTTTTGACTGAGGTAGTGTGGTGGCCCAGTCTGTCAGCAATGTGCTCAAGTGATAATTTCTGTTTCCATAGAAACTAGACTTGTTTGTGTTCGATAAAATTTCATAAAAGCTTTTTTTCATTGTTGCGGTAAGGACTCAAAAGTCTGGGACAGGCACATTTAGTTAAAAAAAATCATAAAAATGATCAGTGAATTAATTCAAAGAATTGTAAGATACTGTAAATTAATCTGTATATTAAACAATTCCATTTGAAATGTCAAATTGTAATTAAATTAGCTTATTTTATGTATCTCAACATTGAGACCACAGGTGTGGGACATTAAAAAAATGGTGTTTTGAGCTATAAATGCTTCATAATTATATTTAATCACATTAATCAGTAATATTTTTTTGTCAAGGTGTGAAATGGCACTGTGAATATATTTCTGAAACATCAAAGGACAAATTTTAACAAATCTAAAATTTCACTGCTGGGACTTAAAAGTGCCCGTAGTTGCAGAAACACCCTTCTAAGCAATGTGTAGAATATTGGATCTCAATAAAATATTGGCAAATTAACTTCTAAGGACTTATAAGATAAAATTGCCATTTTTATAGTCTGTATTTTACAAACTAGGCTACATGGTTTTTGCTAGTTATTTGTCTTTAAATGTCAGAAACCTAAAACAAACATGGTTAAACACAGAACAGTTCTGGTATAAGCAATGAGCATATCTGGCTCAGTGCCATCCCAAGCGTAAATGCAGATTTGAATATTGCAGTTGATAACGTGACGCACTGAACATTGTAATCACAGTGGTGTGTTCGTACACTTAATTATAGAAGCTTGTTTATGCCATGAAGAAAGAAAATGCAAAGGGTAGTTGCACCTTATCTCATAATTCTAAGAAAAACTGGTAAATTTAGTCGCAATTAGGCTACTTTTTTTTTTTTTTTTTTTCTGAAGCGGAAACAAGCTTCCATAGATAAAATGTTTTGGGGAAGTTTTTTTTTTGTGTGAATTAGACTTTCAGTATTTAGTGATAAGGTTTCTTTGTCACTTATCTATAACAGCAAAGCCAGGAGAGTGCCCAAGTGAAAAATCTGGAGCAGGTAAGTGTGCCGATCTGTGTGCCTATGACAGTGACTGTCCGAACAATGAGAAATGCTGCAGCAATGGATGTGGACGTCAGTGTATGGCTCCATATACAGGTATTTGTTATTTTATGTCATTATATTAGTGTTTGGGTCAGCTTTCTTGTTTTTTCATTTTTTTCTTTTATAATTTTATCACTCCAAGTTAAGCCTGCGCCCAAGCCTCCAGTGAAGCTTGCCGCCAAACTGGTTGAGACTCCAGTGAAGCCTGCCGCTGCCGCCGCACTGGTCGAGTCTCCAGTGAAGCCTGCCGCCGAACTGGTCGAGTCTCCAGTGAAGCCTGCCGCTGCCGCCGAACTGGTCGTGTCTCCAGTGAAGCCTGCCGCCGAACTGGTCGAGTCTCCAGTGAAGCCTGCCGTCGAACTGCCCGAGCCTCCAGTGAAGCCTGCCCCCGAACTGGCCGAGCCTCCAGTGAAGCCTGCCCCCGAACCGGCCGAGCCTCCAGTGAAGCCTGCCCCCGAACTGCCTGAGCCTCCAGTGAAGCCTGCCCCCGAACTGCCTGAGCCTCCAGTGAACCCTGCCGCTGAACTGCCCGTGCCTCCAGTGAAGCCAGTCACCGAGCCCTTCAAGCTGCCAATGAAGCCTGTGGCCGAGCCTCCAGTGAACCCTGCCGCCGAACTGCCTGAGCCTCCAGTGAACCCTGCCGCTGAACTGCCCGTGCCTCCAGTGAAGCCAGTCACCGAGCCCTTCAAGCTGCCAATGAAGCCTGTGGCCGAGCCTCCAGTGAAGCCTGCTGCCGAGCCTCCAGTGAACCCTGCCGCCGAACTGCCTGTGCCTCCAGTCACCGAGCCCTCCAAGCTGCCAGTGAAGCCTGCCGCTGAACCGCCTAAGCCTCCAATGAAGCCTGCCATCAAGCCTCCTGTGAAGCTTGCCGCTGAACTGCCCAAGCCTCCAGTGAAGCTTACTTCCAAACTGTTCAAGCCTCCAATGAAGCTTGCCGCAGAACTGCCCAAGCCTCCAATGAAGCCTGCCCCCAAGCCACCAGTGAAGCTTGCTGCTGAACCGCCCAAGCCTCCAGTGAAGTTTTCCGCCAAACTGTTCAAGCCTCCAATGAAGCTTGCCGCAGAACTGCCCAAGCCTCCAATGAAGCCTGCCCCCAAGCCTCCAGTGAAGCTTGCTGCTGAACCGCCCAAGCCTCCAGTGAAGTTTTCCGCCAAACTGTTCAAGCCTCCAGTGAAGCCTGCCGCCCAAGCCTCCAGTGACGCTTTCCAGCAAACCGCCCGAGCCCATTTTGCATAACGCATAGCCAACTGGAGTTCTGATCAATTCAGTGCTTTATTCAAATGGCATGGTTTCACCAAATAAATGTTTAAGACTCCTTTCTGTGTGGGATTTATTTTTTCCCATGAAAAAGTGCTTTATTGAAGAGTTTTTTTTGGTATGCCAGGGTTCCCCAAGTCATTTTGCTATGACTTACTGGTTTCCATTCTCACCAGGAGCTAGGCAGCAAAAGTTTCAAAACAATTGTCAGCAAAAAACATGACCAAGATGGGCAAGCTTTGAACTAAGCTACCAGAAATTAAATGTAGGGTGATGCTAATGTGAGGAGAAATGTAGTTGTTGTCATGAAGAAACCAAAAAGTACTGCTAAGTTACATCAATAGTAATTCATGTTTTCATGTAATTCAGGATTTTCATGCAGGTATTAGGGCTGTCACTTTTGAGAAATCAAATTCGAAAGGATATCAAATATCCAGCAATGTATTCGAATATCTACGACCCCCCCAATCACAAATGTATTAACAGTCTGACAGTCATAAACAGGACTCAGGCCATAGCTTGTCTGATTTTTTATTTTATTTTTTATTTTTTTGACTATGTTTGAAACAGTAGGTTATCAACTTAATCTATATGAAGTGCCACTATGCATAGCCAATCACAAAATTAGGCTACATGGAAAAAACTGAATCGGAACAGCACGGCACAAACAATAACGTGTCCACTTAAACAGCAGCAGGAGTAAGGCCTATAACCTATCCTAATTCATTTCTTAATATTGTTTGCCAGAAACACCAATCTATCAACTTGTTCTCGATCAAGTGCGACTCTTTTTATTGACGATGTTCCCCGCGGTGTAGAACATGCGTTCAGAGCGCACAGACGTGACTGGCACACACTATGGCAAGCCGTTTTAACTTTTATTCATTTCCAGGATATGAATACTTGATATCAACAATTCAATTTTCACTAGTTAAAATTATAATTATTGATATCAGGAATAATATTTCTACTAGTAACAATGGCAATTTTTGATATCAGGAATTACATTTTCACTAGTAACAATGTTAATTCTTGACATCAACATTTACATTTTCACTAGTTAAAATGATAATTCTTGATATCAACAATTGAATTGCAACAAGTAAAAACTATAATTCTTGATATCTGTAATAGTATTTTCACTAGTGAAATGTCACTATAGGCTGCCATTCAAAATCAATTCTTGATATCAAGAATTTATTTCTTACTAGTTGAAATTCCAATTTCACATATCAGAAATACAATTCTTACTAGTAAAAACCTTTATTTTTGATATCAAGAATTAAATTGTCACTAGTTGAAATGTCTATTCTTGATATCAACAATTGAATTGCTACTAGTAACAATGTTCATTTTTGATATCAATAATTCAATTTTCACTAGTGACAATGTTAATTTATGATATCATGAATGTGATTGTTACTAGTAAGAAAGCCATTTTAGATATCTGGTTCCAAAGCGGCACCAACTCTTTGCTGGACTAGAACCGTTCTTTTACCACATCATGGTTACGTCGGGCCAAGACGTATGGTGACGTAACTACATCGTTCGCTGGGCTCTCTAGTCAGTGGAAAAATAAACGGGTTCGCAAGTTGAACCAACTTTGAACCAGCACCAGATCCGAACCAGTTCTTTTTTTGGTGGAAACAAGGCATTCGTGTTGCGTGTGGCCGAGTTGATCGATTTATACATGTCCCCAAACAAGCTTCCCATGATACCTAAGGCCGGAGCCACGTCTTCCCTCTCTTGGGGAAGCCATTCTGTGCGTTATCTTCCATTTTCAAAACAGGGTGCTATTGGCTATTATTCGCTTGATTTAGTCATGGGCCAATATGGGCCATGGGCTACAATACGTTTAGAGCGCCCGCTACTGGATGAGATGGCAAACAATAAAATAAAAAACAAACGGTCTAATCATAGACTGTAAAAAATGCGCTACACATGGCACTTTAAAAACTTTTCAAAAAAGACGGATAGTAATACATATTCGAATATCGAATAAAAAGTGACAGCCCTAGCAGGTATGCTGTTAATTCCAGCCCAGGCTCATTCGATGGTTAATTCTATTCATCAGGGGCCGGTTGCACCAGCTGTGCGTAAGTTACAACTTAGCCTAGTTTTGACGCAAATGGGCACTAAGTTACAACTTATGCACTACTAAATATTTTTACGTTGCACCATTAAACTTAGTTTAAACGTAACTCTACGTTCCAACTAAATATTTACGGCAGCCTCCGATCGGGAGTAACGGTTGGAATAAAATATCAGACAGACTGAACTGCATCAATAAGCTCTTCTTTTACCTGACAGACTTTAATTCTTTAGACATAGGCCTATATGATAATGCTGACATTTACACTCGCTTACATTTTAAGAGAGAGAACATTATGTGAAAAGATTACTTTGTTAGCAGCTCTTTAACACGGACCCGTCCTAAACAGCGCCGCTGTGTGCATCGGTCCATGTTGTGCATGTCAAATATCAGTCATAATCAATAAACGTAATTTCTTGTTTTTTGTATCAATATTTATTTATTGATCCTTATTAATTTCATTTCAAATACAGTTTCTGAATGTTATTTATAAATAAAAACACTTATGTTATTCATGATCAAGTATCGTATTAAATGGAAACTTATTTTTACCCTTAGTAACGTGAGGCAAAAGAAGTTAGAATGAAGGACATTAGAATGAAACTGACATTCACGGCATTTCAACAACTTCTGCTCACGTATTTGAAGGCTGCTATTGGTTCATCGAGGCTAAACGTCATATTATGCGACTACGCATTACTTTACGGAGAGTTTACGACCTACTAGCTACGTTCTACCTTACGAACAAATGGTGCAACGGAATAAAGTACAGAGTTAGTTACAAACTAGCTAGTAGTTACTAAGCCTCTAGTGTGGACTTTACGTTACAATTTTAGAAAGAACTTACGAACGGCTGGTGCAACCCTACCCTGGAGCAGTTCCATTAACATTGTGTTTATCATGGTAACGGTTTCCATAACCTCAAAACGTCACTTTTTCACTTTGTGTTATTTTCGTAAATGACTGGTGGCTCATACTAATTGTATTTTCCAAAAAGTTTGGGACTGCTATATGTATCAGTGGTGTTTTGAAATAAAGGCAAACATCCTCAGTTTTATTATGTAAAATAAATGTATGTCCCAGACAGTTACATTTAATGTTGTCACATTGTAACACTCGACCTTATCAGTCTAATTTACATGCATTTAAATGTGTCCCAAGTGATAGTGAATCCAAATGGTTCTAACTGGAAAGGTGAGAATGCGTTTCACCTGTATAGAACCTACAGCTGAACATGTAAAAATAATGCATTGTATGCATTTTTACAGAATTCTAATAGAATTACTGACTTTCTTGGGCAAAACAAGAGCACCTGTAATGTCAGCACACTGTTGGATGCTAAACAAAATACTGCATTGATGTATTTCTGGTCCTGGAAATTGTCTGAGCACAGCGATCTCAGGATAAGATGGTGCAGTTTTGCTTGGAGTCAAGCTCATAAGCTCAGGCGCTGCTCTCTGAGTGTCTCATCTACAGTATGTGTGTGTGTTCACACAAACACATGGGACAAAGAAAAAGCTATTCAAACATCTCATTCCTGGAGTCTCAGCTGAAGCAGAGGAATCAAACATCAAGGACATACGGTGAAAAAACTAAGGCCAGCACTTCTTTTAAATGCAGTGCTCTGCTTACTAAAAGGTGCAGTTTTTTCATCTATGGCAGGACTTGTTGCAATGTAATGGAGGTATTTTACATAAAAAATTGTAATGATTAAAAAATTTACATTATATTTTACATAGGGTTCAGAAATCTAAATTCACATGAAAATCTGGGATACACAATTTGATGGATGAGGATCATCTCACTCACTTATATCCAAAGCAATGGGACATTAAGATGGCTGTACAGTGGATAA